TAAGTTAATAGCACAAAATTACATTCAGTTTTGTTTGGGCTGCTTTGGCAATGTATGGACCTAAAAGTGGTCCTGCATTAAACAATATTCATGTGCATGTATCTGTGCTACAGAAATATATTACTTACATAAAGGCATTATTAAAGTATAGCAGAGTATGCACACATACACATGCTCCTACCAATTTACAATTGCATACAAACACACAGTGTATAAAATATAACACAGGTCTATATTCAAGCCACATATAGATTTGTAATTAATATAGTACTACAAATGTTTCAATGATATGAACTCATTTCTAACGTTCTCTGGAGTAAATAGTAATAAAAGAATGCCCATAGAGATCCAGTTTTATAAAGTGTTGCTGCCCATGGCAGAGGGTTGGAACCAGATGAGCTTTAAGGTCGTTTCCAAGCAAAACCATTCCACGATTCTATGAAAGTGAAGTCCTTTGAAGTGCTGAGCAGTGAAGGACTGAACCTTGTTCACCTTACTCAGCTGACAGACAGTAGATTCAGCACAGCAGTCCCATCTCATAAACCCAAAGATCATTTTCTATTTCAGTTATTACTAGCATCTCCAGGTGCTTTCATACCCCACACCACAGATTTAATTTCTGACTCTCCTCTGACCAGTAGCACTGAGAATCAGTACTTAATTTTTATAATAGAATCAGTATAGTCCAAACCAGCACAGTTCAATCCAGATCTGTTCAAGTTCCTGGATTAGAGCTAATGGCTTACCCATAATGCGATTACTTTCACATTCATGAATATGTTCTCAGTAATAATACTGAGGAGATGAATAGAAACTTTTGATAAAAATGATCCAATATAGCCCAGTTAAACATGTCAGCTAATTACACAGTCTTATACAAATAATAATGCAATTATTTCGGTTATATAAGGGCTTTGCATGCACAGGGCCCAGAGGAACAGTTCAAAATTCCCCAAACACATGCTATTTTAGTGGGAATATTTGGAAGAAGAAAAAAGTTTGCCATAATTTAGAAGTCACACTTTGTTCAAGACAAATGAGAGAAGATGCAAAACAGAATGGAAAAGAAACATGGTTAAAGTTAAAAAGAGGACATCAAAGTAGGAAGGCGAGGAGCTTGAAACCAACTCAGCAGAAAAGGGGAAAAAATGCTTTGTGTCTGATTTTCAAGAAGTCATGAAAGGAGCTTTTGAGCAGAACCCACATTTTCTAGTGTCCATCTGATAAAACTGAATGCAAATGACCAAATTCTGCCACTGATGTGTGCTTGCCATGGGTCCATGGTGATGACAGCAGCACATCCAAATTCATCAAGCACAAACCTGCACATTTTTGTCCATTTCATGTTTCCAAATCAGATGCTTTATCTCCTAAATACATGCTTCCAAATACACTGACTTCCACACAAACACAGTGGCAGGAGTTGGACCAAAAGTCAGATAAGAGCATACACATAAAACTCAGAGATCAAAAAGTTGACTCCATTGGTAATGTAGCCTGCACAGAGCCTCAGAAACATTGGGAGTTTGTTTTTATGTAAGTTATCTGAAGCAGCAAGTGCCAACAGACAGGGATTACTTCATCATGAGCATTTAGTTTTCCTTCGCAAGAAGGAGAGGACAGGCAAGAGAGGCAGAGACGAGTAAGAGGAAAAACTGGTTTCTTAATTGATCCAGGAAGGAGGAGGAAAAAGACAATGACATGAAGGTGCCAATATTTCAGCAACCTGAGTGGAACTGATCCTACAGGAAGCAGGACGGGGTTTACGCAGCAGGCAAGAAAGGGAAAGACATTGTCTGTGAGAAAGGCAATCCAGTTTGTACCTTTTCTGTTTGAAAGGTAACTGAAACTGAAAGCCAGAGGACTGAACCACTGCAGTTTGAGCTGCATCATCCTTTACTATACACAGCAAAATAAAGGCTGCTCTTTGTTGTGTCCCAAAGCAAGCTGGAGTCAAGAGCCAAACACCTCACATTCAAAAAACACATTCTTTTTTAGCAGCTTCCCTACCTCATCACGCACTCATTAAGCATTTTCCTTGGGCTGTTTACACACAAGCGGTACCCCACTCCAAACTATCCTATACTTATTTAATGCTGTACCTGGTGGAACAGGATCAGAAAAAGCTGCTATAAAAGAACAAACTCCTGCAACTATTCCTATGAAAGCACAGGATACAGTTGCAGCATTGTTCCGTCTTTAAGAAAACATATCCTGTGATAAGTAAGGATGTATCTAAACTTGGATGTACCCAAACTTGGATGTACCCAACCCCAGACCACTTAAACAGACAAACCAAGAAGGACACACATTCAAACATCACGTTTTCAAGAAATCTGTCAAATCAAGAGGTTTTAAGGTTTTCTTTTCCTCTCGTGCTTCTCCAACAACACATAAAATCATAGAATCACGTAGAGCCTCAACAGCAGTTACCAAAGGTGTTAAGTCAGGATCAACACCTCCCAAAGTATCTTTTTTTTCTCTCAAAGACTGATGTCATTCCAAAGCACGACACTGACTGAAATTCAGTCAGTTTCCAAATATGAGCTACGAGCAATTCAGGTGTAGGTAATTCAGGCTGCAGACACCCACTCTTCAGTCCACTCTTCCTTACATGTTTTCAATCTCACGTCCATGCCCTGCTGCTGCTTGAGGAAGGCCCAACGCTCAAAACTGGGGAAAACCAAACTGCCTACGAGGAGCAAACAACAAAGTGAAATCACTTTACCTGCCACTGAAAGGGAGAGCGGAGGGATACTGAATCATCTGCCTGCCCTTGCACCACCACTTCAAGCCGACCCAAGGCAGCCCAACCCAGACACCCTCTCCTTGCCCCCAGCTGCACATTCCTGTGGCCTCCCTAGTTCCAGCGCAGTGTGTAGTCAGTCAGAACGAGGAGCTGACCCAGCAGTAAATTAATACAGCAAAACCAAATTCATAAATGGTTAAAAAAAGAGATTACTTTTAAAACCAGAATCAGGTTCCTGACCTGTGAGTGGCTGCAAGTGTTAGCACCGGCCTTGGGGAGGGGTGAGGCTGAACAGCTGAAGGTCCAGGCTAGGGTGGGATGAGAGGAAAACATCTCTCTCAGGAGGAGCCTGGCTTTAGATCAGCTTAAATTGATCTAGAAACCACACCTTTGGCAGGAGAGAAATTTAGGCAAATACTTGCCTGGGTAAGAGCAAGTTAATGCTGCTCCTCAGGAAGCACAAAAGGTGCTGGAGTTTGATCTTAACTGGGCACCCACAGTGCAACTGCTCAGGTCCTGGTGTTTTCCTTGGTGGGGAGCAATGGGAAGGCAACTACAGGGCTGGCGTCTGAGCACCCCCCTTAGTACCAGTGAGTTTAGCAAGTGCTCTCATGTTACCCAAGGTGGATGTGGTTTCACAACCTCTCTCCCCCCCCACAACTCTCCCCGAGCTTGAGACATTGCTAATCATGTTAGGACTGAGCTAGGAGTTTAATGCTGGTTCTACCACTATTTCAATAGCTCTGTGAGTCATTTTGATGTCATGCCTCAGTTTCCCTGTTATTAAGAGGTGCACATGCGTGCATGCAAACACTCAGCGTGTTTCCCATACAGCTTTCCTGACTAGTTACCTACTGTTCACACTAGGATTTTAAGCAAAAAGAGCTAAAAGAAGTGCTGAATATCAGTTTCCAGAACAGATGCAGGATCTGGTGCTGAACAGTACTGGATATTGCTGGTTTGAGAACATCAGATGAACACCTACCAAAAAACCAGTGCTGGTCTCCTTTATCCCCTGCCCCTCTTCTTCCTCCTTTGCCTAAGGAACGAATCTTAATGCCAGCATAAACTTAGTGTATGTGTATGTAGTTTCTGAAACTACCTCAGGCTGAATTCAGTGACCCAGATAAACGCTTCCATCCTGCCTTCTCCCTGCTTTCCAAGTAAGATTTGGGAAGCAGTAGTCTACATTTGTTATCTAAGGTTACTGTTATTTACTGTTGCAGTAGACATCTACTTGGACTAATGAGGACTGGGGCTCCATTACTGTGCATGTTACTGAGTTAAGTTGCTGCCTTAAAAAGTTGACAGTATTCATAAAGGTGTGTACCAGACAGCAAGAGGAAGGAGGGAGGCAAGAGAGCAGGACAATATGATGGCATCAGCCAGCCGCGTGCACAGGATGATGGTTCCAATCCAAGTAAAAGTTGCTGGTTTTGTAACTCTTCCATAGTAACTCCCCTCCGCTACCCCGCATTTGTAGTGCATTCACTCTTTGCTGCCAGCTGGAAAAAGTGACCCGGGGCTCTGTGCGCACGGACATACGTTGCCTACTCGCGTTCATGTATCATCATCACAGTTTAAATAATTCAGTGCTGCTGGTTTTGTCCCGGGCAGTCTCTCCCCATCTGTACTTACTAAAAAAGTAAGGTGGAAGTGGAGGAAAGCAGCCTGCCTGCGTACGCCTGCTCGTGCAGACTGAGGGCAGACTCGCATCTCGCCACTCTGGGAATTTGGGCCCCTTCCTTGTACATAAACCACCCTCCCTCCTGGGGTGTCTTCTCCTTAATTACGTTCGCGTTAATGTAAGCACTTGGGACCGGCTCAGCCTCTCCCCCAAGCCTGAGCAGCCTCCACAAACATCCTGCAAAGCAACCTGATCAGATGTTCCTCCTCTAGGCAGTTACACGGATTTTCTCTCCCAAGCGGTTTGGAGCGGGCGAGCGAGAGCGCTTGGGTTTTCCAGCCTGCTCCTCCCACCAGAGACAACCTCCCGCTGCCTCTCCGCCGAGCAGCACTGCTCACACGGCTCCGCCGCGGCGTGCGGGACGCGGGCACAGCGCACCGCTCCCGCTGCCGCCGCCGCTGGGGGAAGCGCTTCGGGCCGCCGCCGCCGCCGCCCCGTCCATGGGCAGGGGCCGTTAGGCAGCCCCCGCCGCCGGGCCATGCGCGGGCTGCGCCGCCTCCGCGGGGGCTGCCGGCCGCCGCAGTGAGCGCGGGGCCGCGCCGTCCGTACGCGCCCGCTCCGCGCATGCTGGTGGGGCGCGTCCCGCGGCGGGGCAGCCCCGCGCCCCCCGCGCCGCCCCTCCGCAGCCGCCGCCGAGCCGCGATGCCGGCGGCGGGGCGCGGGCAGCCCGCCTCCTGGCTGCTGGTGCTGGGCGCCGCCGCGCCCGCCCTCTGGCTGCGCTGCGTCCTCGCCGACTTCACGGTGGACAACGAGGTGCACTCCAGCTTCATCCACCGGCGGCTGCGCGGCCCCGAGCGCCGCGAGATGCAGCGGGAGATCCTCTCCATCCTCGGCCTGCCGCACCGCCCGCGGCCCCACCTCCACGGCAAGCACAACTCGGCCCCCATGTTCATGCTGGACCTTTACAATGCCATGTCCGTGGAGGAGGGGGCTGCGGGGGCCGCCGCTGAGGAGGGCGAGGGCTTCTCTTACCCCTACAAGCCCATCTTCAGCACCCAGGGGCCGCCCCTGGCTAGCCTGCAGGACAGCAACTTCCTCACTGAGGCTGACATGGTCATGAGCTTCGTCAACTTGGGTGAGTGCCTGCCCGCTGGACACGGGGCGATGGGTGGGGAGCCATGCCGTGGGAGGCTGGAGGGAAGGGGCTGGTGGCCCTGGCAAGCAGCTCTTACCGCATTGGGTTGGATGGGTGGCAGCCCACTTGGGCAAGGAAGGGCAGGTAGAGGCCCTTGGAGGTGGTAGTTAAACGGCACCAGTGTGAAGAGGGCTCCGGCTCCCCATCACAGCATTTGGACAGCCACAAGCTCTCCATCCCACACACCACCACACTTAAGTTTGTTGTCTTCTGCCTTTGATAGTTTCTTGCCGCACCTCAGAAATTGGATTTGCAGGTAGAAGTTGAGCAGGTCTATCCTGCATCCTGCACAGCCAGGGAGGCCATGACACCCAGGCAGGACCATGGGTCCTAGCATGGCACCCATCTGGGATGCACAGTCACCAGGGCTGCCTAGATGGATAGTTCCCTGCAGCATCCCAGCACCATGTTCCTTTGGCCGAAGGGGCTGAGCTGCTCGCACATGTTTTCCTAATTGCTTGAGAGGGGTTCCACAGTAAATCCTTATTTACTCCTGCAGCTTTTTCTGTTGACCCTAGTTTATGCAGCTAACTCGCCTCTTTTCACAAGCACATGTGGATGGGTTTATGCAAATGATACCAAAGTTGGCATGCTTTGTATGCAGCTCGCTAGGCCTTTCTAATTGGATGCTACGGCCCAATCTGATTTCCATTTCCTTGCTGTAGATTGCACACCCGTATGGACTGACTTGGCTGGATTTGAGTAAAACATTGTCAGGATGAGCATTCTATTTTAAATACATAATTATAGACCTGGTTCACTCTCGCAATTTTTAGACCTCCTCATGTGCAGCTCTGAAACCACCACATGTACAGATTGGGTGCCTGCAAGTTCAAGAAAGAATCTGAACAGTATTTCCAAAATAAGATCAACTCAATCTTTGTTCCAAACAAAGGGGCATGCAAAGAGCAAGAGGAGCCCATCACTGACATACAACCCACTAGTGGTCATCTCCATTGCCAGTAAATCCATTGACACCTTTGTGGATGTCCCTGTTCTGGACACTTCCACTGTCTGGAACTAGAGAGGCAACAAAGATTAAATCACCACCCAAATCACCACCTCTCTAATCCCAGCAGCACTTTAACTAACTTGAAAAGACCAGTAGCTGTAAAGACTCTGTGACACACGTTAATAATTGTTAGACACGGTCGCCATCCCGGCACAATTCTTGCATGATAGGGAGACACGGGACGCTGTGGGAGATCTCTAGTTTACATGAGCTGCACCTCCTTATTAGCGACCATCAGCTGCACTGTGGGAAGCTCTGAATTACATCAGGCCTGGGGGCTGCTGTGCTCCTTGAGAGCGCTGGTGCTTTCCATTTGGAATTACAGTGTTTGTCTAATTGCTGCTAGATACTTAAGCTGATCAGCAATGATACATTTAAAACCAAATATTTGAGCAGCCAAAAGCACCAATGGAAGACAAATATTTGACTTTAGAGATAAGAGTGATCTTGCTAACATTGTTCTCTGTGGTTCTTGGGTCCTACACCATGTGCAGCCAGAGTGCAGGGACAGTCCTGAAGAGAAGACAAAGGCTCTTGAAATAACGATAGCGAAATTCACACTTCTCTTTTTGTTTCGATATAGAGGAGAGAACCTTTATGAAACATGTAAGTATCTAACTGAAGGGAGTTTAGCCCTGGGGAGGAAGCTCTGCTCCACGGATGTAGTTATTTACTGCACAACTTGCATCAGTGAAACGGCAGCACTCCGGTCCCATGCTTCCTCTGTAAGGAAAAGTCACCTTTGCAGCCTGTGGAGGTTTTACAGGAAAGGAGTTCAGGTCCCTGATTATTTTGAATACAAAGGAGTGGAATTGATCCATGAACTCTAAAATAAAAATTACGTTTTGGATGTGTCTGTTTCTATGTGAGAACTTTTTACAGAGAAGGTTTTACCTGTCTAAGCTCTACATAATCAGTAATCGACATCCCAACGCGATGTGATATATTTGTTCATTTTGACCTGCTGGGTTTTGTAGTCAGCTTAGAAATTCGGAAGTGCTCTTTATGTAAAATATCATGTTATTGAACTGCTGTCAGCGTGGTCAATGAGTAGCAAGAGCACAGGCAAAATCCAGCAGTTTTAAGGAGGACAGGTGGAATTATTACCAGGAAGGCATATTCTGGAGGTTTATCTGCACTGTTTTGTTCCCTTGTCAGCCGTGCATGCCAGGACGAGTTTAAAAAAGACACAGATCTATAATAGCTTTCTTCATCACTATGCACACCTTTCATCCCATTATAGTCATTGGTCTTTCATCTTTATAGGACAAAGACAGGCTTGTTTATGTACGTTCTAATGAATTAGACCAGCCACTCACTCCCGTATATAGTCAAATACAACACCTCCTTTGATATGTACAGTTTTCTATGACATTCAGGGAAAATTAGAAGTTCTGTTGCAGAACTGATATTTTTTTGGAGACTTTCTACAATGATCCCTTTTAAAGCAGAGCTGAATTCCTAAATGTAGACTGTACTAAACTGCGTCCTACTTTTGTAAGAGATACTCTGTGAGCATTGCATTTCACAGGTAGGCTTTTATTACTGTACTAGAGCCGTCACAATGAGGAAGTGTCGCAGCATAATAAAGCTTCATCTTAGAATGGAGGAAGTAAAAGTGAGTAAAGAAACGATACTTTTAAATTTCCATAAACAAAACATGTTAATTCCAGGCTTCCAAATGCTAATGTACAAACCCACTTTTTTTTTTCCTTTTTTTTTTTTTGCTTTATTCATACTCTTCGTCTATTGATTTTACGACTTTATAGGAGAATATGAATAATAATGTTTACACTGCAGAATTTACTGGGTTATGTAGTAAAAAATCCCCAACAACACCCCCTCTCCCTCAGTGATTCCTATGGAGATACTGTGTATATTTCCTCCAGAGAATTTATACTGGGTACTGGTAGGGAGGAACCAGAGTACAGGTGCTCCGTTTCAGGGCTGTGTTGCATGGAGCTTTGTACTAAGCATGTAATGTTACTGTAAAACCTCGACAATTAATTAGATTTAGATTTATAACCAGTTAATTCGCAGGCTGCATTTTGTCTTAGCTTACACCTGTGCTAAGATGGTTGGGGAATGGGTTTGTGTCAAGAATGAAGTTACATGTACATTAAAAGAGAATTTAGCCACTGTTGTCTAAGTTAGTCAGTTAATTACTGGCTGATTTGATAAAATTTATCACTGTAATTTCGGTATTTGGAACTTCCTTCCAGATCCTGTCCAAAGCACAGTTTACAAATGGATCCATTTTAGGAACTGAAAAACGTAATGCATTTTTTGCACAAGTTGAAATTCAAGTTTATAAACAGCAGCTACGGAGTAAACATCCTCTAGATTACTTAGAGGCTCTCTTCTAAAAATAATTGAGTTGTTCTTACGCGGTAATCTTGCCTTGGTAAACAGACTTGCTGAGGATGTTTTTTAAGAGAGTCGGCACAAGTGATATGCAATTTGTTAATTTGTCTCGTGGTTGATTATAAAATGAACAACATTGTTTAATCCTGGCAAAAAATAAGAGGGGGGGGAATTAGTCATTCTTGGAGCACATGAAAGTGGCTTTTGTTAATGTAAATCAAGAAACTGAAGAGCCCCCAAGTTTCCTTTTATTTCATACCATCTGGCTATCCTTTTTGTTGACAAGTGTTTGGCATAGAGAACCATCTCTTTGCCCTTTAATAACAGGCTTTAACACTGTAGGGTATTAGAAAAAGATTCTATAACAGTTAAAAAATTTCCTTCGGGGAATACTTTATAAAGTGAGCACGGGCTGCAGGCATTTGCAGCTGTAACCTGGCTTGTGTTAAAATTTGGAAGGGGCTGCCTCGCATTCCAGCTCACTACAGGCCTTCATTGGTGTACAGCCAAAGGTTAATATAGATGTCACACAGTTTTTCTTTGGAGAGCCTCAGATATAAGAGTATGCGTACAGCTGTGTTTTTAGTAACCCTTTCATAATCACTTCTTTTAAACCTCATTTTCCTGCTTATATAAATCAAAGATTTTAAGGATATTTGACCTGGATTTGAACTTATTTGATCTTCACATATTTCCCACTTGAAACAAAGCAGATTAAATGTTAGCCCTGGATGCCTGGTCACGATCACATGGTTTGTCCATACATTAGGCCAAACCTTCGGCTTTTTTTACCTCTCTCCTCCACCTCGTGCTGTTATAAGCTCTCAAGCCTGAACAGGTACATCCTGTAATTGTTTTGGATATATGCATGTATGTATGCAACACTTAGTGGTATAAGATCAGCTAAGGCAGAAAGCTTGAAGCAAATGAAAGGTATGCAGTGCAGTGACCATGTATCAAGTAACTAGCAGCTATTCCTTGAAAGTACAGAGCTAATCTAGAGAGAAATTGATTCATTTCCTAATTTCCAGGTGCAGCATGACAGAATGGAACAGGAACTATTTATCTCTGCCACACAGGTCTGGTGAGAGCAGAGAATGGAGCATCCCAGATGTCCTCATGCAAGGACAAAGGACATGGAAATGCCCCCATCCACTTCTGTGTGGTGGATTTATCCTCTGTTCCCACACAGCCTGTCCTGGGGAGGTGAAGCCCCCTCCGGGAATTGTAGTTTAAAAGCCAAAACACAACAGCTTGTAAAGTGCTTTGAAGGAGACAAGCCTTGATGGCCAGACCTTGTGATGCTTGTAAGGGGAGTTAGGCACAAGTGAAGCGTACAGGACCTGCTCCCACCCGAGCGCTGCTTGCATTGGTTTTACTTGAGGCTGAGTGTGTATGTGCATCCCCCCACACCCCCCGGCACTCCTGCTGCAAAGGAGCTTTAATGGCCTCAGGGCAGGCAGCATGAAACCAGGAGTTAGGTTTTCATCTGTAAATAAGCTTGAAACACGTTTTTTGGGTAAGGGGGGAGAGATGTGTGAGAGGAGGTTACACAAGTGGTTGG